CGCCTAACACGCGTCGCCGGTTTAGTCTTTTTCCGTAGAAAAAGACACCAGAGTTCGATTCTGGGGTATTTTATCCTGAAACCTAAGCAAGGATAAGTCTGCGCTTAACCCGCGCTGCCGGTTAGTTCTTAACCGTTAAAAAGAACACCCGTTCACATATTCAACATTATGGCAGGTTGTTATTAATAACACCAAAATCCATGTCTTACACGCATGGGGAATTTTATCCTGAATCCTAAGAAAGGATATGCCGACGCCTAACACGCGTCGCCGGTTTAGTCTTTTTTTCGTATGAAGAAGACACCAGAGTTCGATTCTGGGGCATTTTATCCCAAAGCCTAAGGAGGGGTAAGTCAGCGCCTAACACGCATCGCCGGGTAGTCTATTCCCGTGAGAAAGACGAAGTCTACGTATTCAATATCGTACCACTAAGAGCGTTAACTCTCTTAGAACAACGTCACGTGCGGAACGGATCTACACAATCTGCATGCTAGCCCGACTCAAACGGTAGTCGGTAAAGGCTAATCAAATCCGTTGAAGGCTGGGGGTTAGCCAAAAATCCCAAAGTCAACACCTAACACGCATCGCCGGGTAGTCTATTCCCGTGAGAAAGACGAAGTCTACGTATTCAATATCGTAGCACTAAGAGCGTTAACTCTCTTAGCACAACGTCACATGCGGAACGGATTTATATAATCTGCATGCTAGCCCGACTCAAACGGTAGTCGGTAAAGGCTCATCAAACCCGTTGATGGCTGGGGGTTTGCCAAAAATCCTATAAATGTGAGAGTCACTGACGCATCAGCTTCATTAGTTGGTCTCGTGACTTGAGCATCCAATGACATTCGAAACCCTAGGGTCAACGCCGATCAATGCGTAATCCTAGGTCAACGCCAGTCAACGCGTTGCGATCAAAAAGTCAACTACGACATTCGAAACCCTAGGGTCAACGCCGGTCAATGCGTAACCCTAGGTCAACGCCAGTCAACGCGTTGCGATCAAAAAGTCAGCGTACGACGTTTAAAACCCTAAGGTCAACGCCGGTCAACGCGTAACCCTAGGTCAACGCCGATCAATACGTTGCAATGAAAGAATCAATACTCCGAAAAGTATACGAGTATAAACTGCTTCTTAATACTCCAATAAGGTATATGAGTATAAACTGTTCCCTATTTTTGGTTGAGAAGTTCCTGGAGAATATTTTTCCTAAAAATATTCTTAAGGATAACTCAACAATACCATGCCGGACAACACGTCGCAAATGAGAACTCAACGCCAACATGTTGAACCAACAAGCACGAGCTAAAAATCAGGAATCGACTTCAAATTCGAAATTCCGACAACGGTCAGACAATAAATGCAGCACCGAAAACCTTACAGACGTTCGACAAAGCACCGAATAGCCTGAAGGATTGAAGGAATCAAGAATAGAAGCCACTCCAAACATCCCAAAAGGATAGGACAATCATATCCAAAGTATTCCAGACTCTTCTATAAAAGAACGAGGCTGAAATACTTTGGAGGGGGTATCTGTAGGCGTATAAAATTGCTTATAGGTCCCTTAGCATAACTCGGCACAAACCGACGAACCAACGAGGCGACGAGGTTGACGAATCGTACGCAAGCAATGGAATACATCCATTCGCGTGTGGAATCAAGCCAAGGGTTCGAAGAGTCAACGAGTCATCCAACCAAGGGCAGACTCGGACGAATCACGATCGAATCAAGATCAGTTTCGGACTTGAACTCAGAATCGGATTTACTGCCTATTCAGGATCCGGATTTACTGCCAAATCAGGTCGACGAGTTAAGTCCGAATAAATCAACCACACAACCGAATCACGGTGGAACCAAAACGGATACAACTACAAAACGACGAAAACCACGCTTACATATATATATACATAATATATACATATATATATATGAATACATATATACACATATATGTATATACATATATGTATATATATGTATACATATATACACATATATACATATATATACATATATACATATATACATATATACACATATATACATATATACATATATACATATGTGTACATATATATACATATATACATAGCCTATAAATAGGCCCCCCTTGGTTCATTTGAAAACGTTGGATTTTTTGGAGGCGAAGCCCTGCTGGATTCAAGACTCTGATCTGAAAAAGATTGAAGCTTTGGGGCTTCGAGGACTTGCTCATCCAGATCTGGTGCTCGGCGATCGTCAACACCAAATAAGGCAAGAGTTCGAGAGGACCGGATCTCAGATCTACGCAGGTGTACTCCAGATCAAAGCTTGGCCTTTGATCCCGAGATTTGGGCGATTGTTTCCTTGGTGAACCAATCCTCCCGGCTATTATTTCCTTGGTGAAATAATACCCGTCGTACTGCGTAGATCCGACCGGATCTAGATCTCGCGGTGGTCCACGGATAAACCCCGGCGTAGGCAAAGAACCCACAAAGCGAGCGACCGCAAAACAGGAGCTCGTGATTCGTTCGACAAACAAGGAGAAAGTTGTAATCTTTATTTTATTTTCTTTGATTTTCATTGTAACCGGATCTTATAAAAAGATCGGATCTTTGTAACTCAAAAAGTTGTTATTTAAGAGTGCAATGGAATCAATAATGAAGAAAGCAACGATTTTTCCCGCGAACATGGGCAAATTTGTAATCTGAATGATGTTTTTTCTGGAAAGTAGAAATTCATCAGACAAGGATTAATATCGTTCGTACACGCTCTTGATTTTCATCATTTATCATGACATTGTCCATCAATTTAAGACGAGCTTTCAGTTTTTTACTTGATAAACCTTCTAAGTTCTAATTTTCACCGGTAACAAATGCCATATCTTCTATGGTGCATTTCTATATATATTAATTACGTCATATTTGTGGTTGCTTTCATCAAGGCTGAAAATAGTATTTTCATACTTATGAAAAATATTTAGTCAAGGGAAAAATATTTAGTCATGGGAGAGGATTTCCATATTTATATTTGATCTCCAGTAGTTTTATGACTGTGATGACTTTTTATTTCTCACCTTTAAAAATTTGTTATCAAATTTTAATGTTTCTAATCTATCGACCATTTCACTTGATGAATATTTTATATAAGAAGATTCATAGTAAACACTATAATTGAAGCCTCATCATACATCTATTTTAGGGTTGTTTGAGTCTTCGTAGGGATTTGGGCATTTTTTTACTTTGATTCCTTCACTTGCTACATAATTATATATATTCAAGTTTGGCCCATGTTCTTCTTCCTATTTTACTTCGGAAAGGAACTTGATATCAGACCCTTTATGGAGATGGTATTCTCTATGTCTAATTATTAAAACAAGTTTCTACTACATGCATGGCCTTCCTTTCTAGATTTCTACATTTCCTAACAGCAGATGGTCAACTTTCCATCTTTAGGAGATGACACCAAATCCCTTCTGAATTTCTCTTCATATTTAAAGGTCATGCTTAAGAAGCATAACCATCATCATAATCTTTGATGAGGTTTTCTTTTCCATGCTTTACTTAATTTGTCATGATATGCAATTCTCATTTGAGGGGAAATTTGGTGTACTTGCATGTTACTTGTATATGCACACTGCAGACTCTTTATATTAGGAAAATTCTTCCAGCATACATATCTATATGTTCAATACTTCATTCAAGATCATCAACTCTTTTCGAGATTTGATTTCTCAAAAGAGAAAAAAATAATGAAATTTAGTAAACATGTCAATTGAGATTCTGGGATCTCCATAGTATACAAGGTATTTTGTGCTCTTCATCATAATCTTTAATGAGATTTTTTTTGTTGCTAATTTGATTGTAAACTATATATATTGATGCCTCCCCAGATCAAAGTCTAATTAGCCCTACACTATATGCCACTTTTTTAAGTAGTTCCTATATTTTTGATAACTTACTTTTTGTTCCATCATTTATGAAGTGGAGAGCTTGCATGAGCATGATTGGATTTTGTTGAAATAATTATTCCAAATTTTTTATATGGTTTTTGTTTTATGTTTTTCTAGCTTCCATGGTTCCAAAACGAAATAATTAAGCTGATTTTGGCATTCTTCATACTAAATGTTCATCTATAGAGAGAAGGTGAATGAAGGAGCAGACAAGGTCAATTTCTATAATCGTAATGATATATTAAGTGAATGATTGAACATAGAGTAAGACAGTGTAAAAGTATCTCCTCTATCAAACATAGAGTAATGATTTTATTAGTTTGATCTTTTATCTTCAGGAAGTAAACCAATGTCAATATAGTGTTTCGGTAAGTTTGACACTACTGAATAATAAAATTAATTAATTTTGGAGTCGGACTTGGCCATATTGATGTGTGTATTAATTATGGAAATGTGTGCAGGTCTATTTATTTCCTCCCTTTCCAATGAAGCTCTATTTTCCTGTCCACTAATATTGCTTCTCTTCTCCTATAGAGCCATTTATAAACCTGATAATCATTTTTACCATCGTTTACATTTGTCAACAGTTATATGCTAGCATTTCCATTACCAGTTGACTAGATTCAATTTTCTAAGCACCGAGTTGGTCCACTAACTATTTTGCTGATAAATTTAAACACTGGTACTCAAATTGTTATAATTACCTATTGAGTATAAATATATGTATTAGTAGGAAAAAGTGTGGTGGTACTCAAATTGCGAAGAGGTCTGATGTAACAACATTGCTAATGTTGTAGTATTTTCATTGCGTACTTTCTCCTTTATTGAGTTACTTTCTCCTTCGATTCTATATTTATATTCACTACTGGGTAGATTAATTGATACTATGATTTGCAATGATAAAATTACAACCATAAAATTTTCTCAGAAGGTAAAGCATTCAAAATTCAAAGAAAGTATTACTTCATACTAAGATGGAAGGTACGATTACAATCATTTATTTTTTTTCTCTAATTCTAATTTTCTAATAGTCTGATAGTTTTTGTTTATTACTGCTACGTTCTTCCTGAAGTGTCTCAGAATATCCATTCTCGACCAAATGCCTTTGATATGTCCAACCAAATCCCTTTGATTGGAGATGTTATTTCTGTCCAGCCCCCTGCAATTTGGTTGAATGTTCAGGTATCTTAACGCATAATAGAATGCCAAGATTTGAACATAACCAGATTAATTTATAAATTGCATTATGTTCGTTTACATAGCCTGATTTGGAACTATGGGACAACATGTTATAGTTGCACATCATCAAATATCCTTGATATAAGTATTCACATAGGTTAAGTGCTTCTTAGAAAGAAAAACTAAACACCATCATAATGAAGAACTACCTTAAGTTTGAACATAGTCTGCTGCAATAATGTCAACTTGAACTATTTAGGATATATTAGATGTTGATCATGAGAATTATCAATGAACATCAGTTCAGATACTTTGTTAATTGTTTCCATAATTAGCTAGCCCTCTGGACACATGACATTGTTTCGATAAGTGATGGTTATGATATATTCTTGTGTTAAAGCTTAAAATGGAATATTCTTTGCATTTAAGATATTTTCCTTTTTTTTAATATTCTGGTAGTGTGTATAATTGTAACATAGGTATGCTTGTGTACTGAGTACTTATGATTATTCAGATTGATATGACTCACTACATAGTAGATATTTTTGTTTTGGAAGCATGTTGGTTAACTTGTTTTATTTTGCTAATATCAGCTTGGGAATAATCTGAACAGGCGCTTTGCATTTTGGGGAGAATCGATTTTGATGCTCCCTTTTGCTATTCTAGGCTTAATCATGAAGCCTTTAGAGCTAAAAGGTACAAGGTTGCTTCTATGATACTTGTATTTAGCGTTGACTATGCTGCTTAATTTGTTTTTTGCACTTAAATGTGCAAGTTTTGGTTCATGCAAATTTCCGAAAGAAAAAAGGATATGGGGAAATGACTATTCTTGTGGTTGAAGGTGATGATACTTAGATATTTTCGTCATTGATATGTTTTTGTTGCTGAGGAGTTCATACCAGTTCCATATGCTTTGTCATAGGCTTCCATGTATGCATTCTTTATATGATTCGTTTATTTCAACAAAATGACCTCCCAAAAACCATTGTGTCTTTTGAGCAATAAAACCTTTGAACTTAATTTGGGAAGTAACTCATTCTGAAAGATGGTTCTATTGTTTTTTACCTGTGGTAGACGTAACAACTAAACTGTTTCCATCCTACATTTTTTTGAGAGGTGCATCTTCTTTGAGCAGCAATTTATAATTTGTGGCACTTTTCTATGTTGTTAAGTGTATAACTGTTAACTCTCGCCTCACATTCAGAGTTTTGGTGTAGGGGAAGAGACTTTTAACATGGTATCAGGACAACTCCGTTTCAAATCCCGCCTGCCACATACTTAAAATGGATTTAAAAAAGGATACTACTGCGAATCTAGGCTTCAGCCATGAAATGGATGCTCAACCCGTAGAGGAATGTTGTATAAAATTATAAGCCTCGTCTCTACTTGTGTAGTGGAAGTGGCCTTAAAAACATATAAATGCTGAAAATTAGTATTTATAATCAACTGATCTCTTCTTGCTACTTCTGTATTACGTAGCACACATGTTCGCATCTATTCAACACCAATAGGAAGCAACCGTATCCTCAACACATGGTTAGACCGAGAGATTGTGGAACATTAAATTTTAGGAGAAATCCAACTTGAATAGAACTCTTACTTAACCTTTTTAATTAATTTGAGACCGTTGCTGAGTTGGCTTTTTCTTCTTTAGTTGAACTTGATGTCTAGATTGATTACTAACTTTTATAAGCATATTTCAATTGGTTTAGTATGCAATGAGCTTAAGCAATTTTATTCGCATCAGCACAAGTAGTTTCCTCAATAAAGCCACAAGGCTAACGATGTTACTAATGTTGAAGGAGAACATAGTATATTTGTTTTGTTTGGAGATGATGAGGATATTTATTGGTAACAAATAGAGAACATAGTATATTTGTTTTGTTGTGCTTGTTAGTCAATGTTTGTTGGTAGAATATCAAGCTGCTCAAGCGAGCATGCCAAATTGAGTTTTAAATATTAGTCATGCAAGTAGTAGACCCACAACTTACTGTCAAAAATGGATGATGTGCCCTTGGATTTTCAAATCATCAGTGTAAGGTATTTGCTGTTCTTTTTATTATCTTTCGACAAAACAAGCTCCGATGTTTAATTTTCCTTAACCATATTTAAGCTTTTCTTAAAATACTGCAGATATGGCAATCTAAGCAGGGAATATAGATACCTCTTCTGGATAGAAATTTTGAACATTACCAGTACGTATTAGTCTCTGATGTATGCTACTACATATCTTATTTGCTATCATGAATTCCTGTAATGTTTTGATTACTAGGCTATATGTAAAGGCATTAAAAAGTTTATTGGGATGCATGACTTAAGAAATTTCTTTAAGAAAAACTTTCTTTTATAGCAAAGGCATTAAAAAGTTTATTGGGATGCATGACTTCAGAAATTTCTTTAAGAAAAACTTTTTTCTGCTCTTAGCTCAGCTAATTTGCTTTGTAGATAGCTGTTATTGTTACAAATTTATTCTTATCTGTATATCATTATCTTTCATCAGGAAAGATAATTCAAATGAAATCCAACAAAGGTTGCAAAGATGTTCTGAATGTGAATATCTTCAAACTAACTAAATTTGGTTTTCAATAGGTAGCGTGATTGGAAAAAGAAAATACAAGTGTTAAATTTCACAAGACAGGATTATTAGCTTTAAATTTTGGCTTAGTTATAGATCTCCCTTGCACTTAGCAAATATACAACAGAAGTTTTCACTATGTTCTCATTGTTCTAAAAGAAAATTCCATGTAACTATATCTGATTGACTCATTATTTTTTGTAGGTTGAAGTGAATGGAACAAGTTCTTTGTGGACAAAGATGGAAAAGTCATGGAAAGATATGCTCCGACAACATCACCTTTGAAAATGGAGGTACAACTTTAACCCACATAATTTTACATGGAAAGATATGCTCCGACAACATCACCTTTGAAAATGGAGGTACAACTTTAACCCACATAATTTTAATTCACTTTTATTTGTACTTATTATTTCAACTATATTTTATCTTTCAAAAAATAATACATAGCTTTTTGGGGTTTGCAGGAATTTAAGTGCCTTCTTTGAGGGACTGTATTGCTCGTGATGCGAGTATGTGATCTTATGTACGCATAAAGGGATGCTTCTTCTAGAAAACTTGTATATTGCTGGAAATTCATTAGCTTTTTGTTGTATGTGAGAAATATTGTTTATTTTAATTATTGGCTTTCAACAATAAAGCTATGTTTGCAAGCTATCTGTTAACTCTTTTTTACTCTTATTGTATGTATATCGTCATGCTAATTGAAGATTTTCCTGGTTTGTAATGTGATGCTAAATATTAGTTATTTATAGTTAAGATCAACTTACCTTTTCTTGATTGTGCAGTCACTTTTATCACGCGCACCATATATATGGATGATTAGGTTCCTTCTCTATGTACAATATTCTAAGTCCCGTGAGATAATGGTTAATTGGTATTCATCTTGTGTATTGTGTATAAGTTCAATACATAATTATGAAAACATTACGGATTTTGATTCATGTTGTTTCTTAATATGCATCACGTGCAACGCACGTATTGCATACTAGTTATAACAAATATTGATTGGACTAAAAGGTTGCTAATTACTTAATTAATCCAGTTCATGGAGATGCATGCTGCTGGCTAATATATAAAAATATCTGTCAAACGGCAATTAAGAAAGGGTTCTTAATTAATTGCCTCATTTACATCAAGGCCTGATCCCAATGCATGCCAGCTCCTCAATGAACTATTCTCATTGGAGACCTAATTATAGTTAAGACATGGATCAACTTACAGATCCAAGAAATATTGCAAACGTGAAAAAACAAAGGTAATAATTCTTCTCACGTTGGAAACTTGTAACAAATTCTATATAACAGTTGATGAGAACGTTCCAAAAGGGTTGGCCTAAATACTAAAATATGAGAAGATGCCTCTTCGATTTAAGAGCTTCCAAGTCACATGATCCAACAACTTGACGAGTGCTTTGAGAGAGAAAGAGAGAAAGCTCTTACAATATCTCATACACGCTATGCCATTGACTTACTCTCTCGAATCCAACATTACACCTTTCGAGAGAGAGGGTAGGGAGGGAGGGAGGGAGGGGAAAAGATTGAGAAGATGTCGATGAAGAAAGAGAGGAAGATCCATATTGATCTCTCTCTCACGTTACAAGAAGAAGAAAAAGAAGATGCCAATGAGGAAGATCATCACACACATAATCTTGAAGAAGAACAAGCAAAAGAGATAGGAGAGAAAGGAGAAGAGAAGTCAACGCAAGATAATAATTTGATGATAGATGAAGAGGTTAGCAAGCGAAAATGATCAAAATTTCTCATGTATTTTAGTTTTATCTTCATCTACTTAGATTCTTTTTTCCATGTTATTCATAGGTTAAACTAAGAGTCAAGATAAATCGCATGAAGGAGGAGAACACACAACTACAGAAGATAATTGATTGCACCATGAAAGATTACTACGATCTGCAAACAAAGTTTGTGGCTATCCAAAAACGAGACCAACGAGAGGTAATTAATATCTACATACATCTCACAAACTAATTGAAATTAAATTCTCATTTTTATTTTTATCTCTAAATTCTAATTTTGACTTTATCTTAAATTAGTATGACAAGCATGGGAAGAATGGATACAATGAGCACAAAAGGGTTCATGACGAAATTGATGAATCTTCGCAATTTAAGCTCGGCTTGTCATTAGGGTTGCAGACACAAGTTGAGCAGATTGAAAAAGAAACATCAGATGGAGAGAAAGGCATAAGAAGATGGACAAATGATGACACTAATCGAATAAAAACAAATGAATTGGCTGCGATGATCAATCCGGCGAATAGGAAAACTAGGGTTTCAATCAGAACAAGATGTCAAGGTCCTACTGTAAGTATATGCTAAATTCTGTGAATTGAATAATTATGAATTTAAACCTCAGTTTGATTTATTCATGGAAGTTTTGGCAGATGATTGATGGGTGCCAATGGAGGAAATATGGGCAAAAGGTTGCTAAAGGGAATCCATGCCCGAGAGCATATTATCGATGCACTGTTGAGCCTGGATGCCCTGTAAGAAAGCAGGTATGTAAACGGATAACGCGAGCTCAAGAATATGGCCCTAGTTTATATATATCAGTACTTTTCTTTAAATTTTGTTGTCCAAGAAATCTTTTCTAGAATTTGTTTTAAGAAAGATTGGATAGAGTTACAGTGACTCTGGTCAAATTTCATTTAGAGAGTTAGCAAAATGAAGAACCTGGTCCAAAATTGTTATATGACTACAGTTCGGAAAGATACTATATGTACATAACCCAACACAGAGTCTGTGCAACGTTCTCCAATGTATCATCTTCAATAGTAGTGCAATTCCCAATTCAGCGCTCTTACTTATTTGAGGATGCATGTGTTCTTAAGATTTAGCCATAAAATTAAACTTTTTAGAGGCTATTTTGTCCATGACTATTTGAGCGTTTCTTTTCCCTGGAATATCAAAACGGTCACTTTAGTGGGACAATTATATCATCTCAAAAATTGGTGTTGACGCTTAGTTCCTTCTTTTCTTTAAGAATTTGAATCATGGAAACCTGCCCCTCGTATCTTTGAGACCATATAAATTTACCTGAGAATTAGCGATAACAATTAAACACTGTTTGCCTCCTATTCATTGCTACAATATCCAATAAAAATAATAATGTTTTTGTTTGAGTTGTAACTTAAAACTTGACTTTGTAGTGGGAAAGTTTAGTCCCACATTGGATAGTAGATGAGAATGAGGGTTGTTTATAAGCCTTCTGTTACTCTCCTATGCCTAGAAGAAAATATGGGTTATGCTCCACAACACATGCGCGCACGCCGAACTGAACCGGGCTGGGCCGGGCCCAGCTCGGGATGCACGCGCGCCCATGACCTGCGGACACCAATGCAGCTCCGGATTGAGAGGCCCTTAACTTGCTACATATTTATTTTTTGCAAATTAGAACAATTAAAGCGTGATTAATATGTTGTAGGTTAGAAACGTGATTAATGTGGATCTTCTCTTCAAGATAAATAAAACGGCTAGGAGAATTAAAACAGGAAATTAAAACAGCTATCTTTAGGAGAAATAAAACTGTAATTAAAACGTGTTAATTGCTGCGGGAATTAAGGGTCTAAACGGGTAGCTGGATGAATGCAAACGGCTAATTAATAGGGCGAGAATGGTGGATCTAAATGATGGAAATGTGGATCTAAACGACGGCTTTAATCCTATAAAAGGACCTATAGGCGAGAGGGCTAATATACAGTGAAAAACACAACAGTACTTCTCTCTTATTCTTCTCTTTTCGATTTACAACTTCTTGCTGTTACTCTTTTGTTGGTTCCTTGAAAGTTTACGAAGAATTCGTAAGCCTTCTTGAAGCTCTTGCCTACGAGAAGGAGGTCGTCTGAACGAGGCTCGTAGTATCACCGTAATCCATTGCCGTGTAGCCCTGTATGAGAAGGGGTAATTAGATTCTTGGGACAGTGTCTTGCACGTTTTGATCATCAAGCTATATTCTTAAACCCTGTTTAAAATTTTGATTCTGAGTTATATTTTTTAATTTGTTATTTTCCAATTTCAATTAACTGTTAAAATTACATTTCGTGCGAAATACAATCGAAACAGAACCTATTTTTTCCCAACAGTTTTGACTATTTTCATGAAAATAATGCTAGTTTTGCGAAGGTTTTAACAGCCGTTATAGTGAAAGGGGGCTATTGGTTAGTACAATTTGTGCTCATGCGCTAAAGAACAATTCCTTTTAGATCTTTAAAGAGTATTAAACTAGAACAAACGTACCAGAAATCTAACTTCTTGAAATATCTACTTTAGAATTTAATAAGCTTTAAACATATTAACAGGTACAAAGATGCATGGAGGATATGTCCATACTAATAACCACATATGAAGGCACACACAACCACCCATTGCCTGTGGGAGCTACGGCTATGCCTTCGACTACAACAGCATCAGCAGCGGCAGCGGCCACCATTGCCTGTGGGAGCTACGGCTATGCCTTCGACTACAACAGCATCAGCAGCGGCAGCGGCCACAGCAAAGTTCCTGTTATTATCTTCCGGCTCAAATTCATTGTCCCCTGATACCTTTCTAACTGATGGCTTTGCTTGCAACCATCAAAAGCCAATGTCTCCTTATCTTAGCCCATATTTGCCAAACCCTTCTCATTCGTTTCCCTTCAACAACATCCCAAACTCTGCAAGCTCTTCTAGTTCTCTATCTCATCACCAAGTACCAAAGCCTTTCAGATATCCATGGCATTCAACTAGCTCTGGAGAGAAATAGTCGCCATATACAAGGAGGAGGCTGAGCTATATATATAATAAGTTCAGGCTTTCATCGCCATTAATTGCCTTTGATTTAATTGTGATGTGATCCACATTTTATGCCAAGTAGATTGCTTAAAATGCATGTAAGTGTTAAGAGGTTTTATGGACTTGTACATGTGCTTGTAAATGGCTGTCTATACAACAAATTCAAGCATATTTTAATTTTCTGGACTCATCAGAGTAGCGGATTAGATATCAGCCTCTATTTGCTCTAGCTAGAATATGATGAACAATTAACACAACCATTCTAGAGATTTCTTGAAGAAATGTAAAATATAAATTTTAACCGTATCAACCCTTACTGTAACTTCGACATTTTGATATAGTGGTTGAGTTGTATCAGAGCAATCTAGGTTTGATTCTCACAAGTCACAAAGTTAAGATGTATATTTTTTTTAATATATACCACTTGTTTTAACTCAAATTTTGGAAAAAGTTAGCGGCTCAATGATACTCAAGGATTTGACCAATATCTAAAAGCAAAAGATTGGCTACCATACGTATCGGCTCCCAAGCTAGTGCGCACGTGAGGACTAGAGAACATCTAGTCACAGAAAGAACGTGGAATAAACCTATTCATATCAATATTTCATAACAAAAGAGTAGGATATTAAAAATCCTAACGCACAGGGGAATCAGATCGAGAGAGAATGGAATGGAGTAAGGAATGTAATAGGGCAATGAATGGAATGAATAAATAATAAAATATAGGGCAATGAATGAAATAGGAATGGAGTAAGGAATGGAATAGGGCAAAGAATGAGTGTGGGAATAAAATATGTATTTCTATTCTTAAGTTTGAGTGCGATTAGAGAATGAAGTGTGAATTAAAATCTTTTTATTTTTGGAATGAATAAATAATAAATAATTTGAGAATATTTGATATGAATTTTAATTTTTAGTGGGAATGCTCTTTCTCTACCAATACACTGGGAATGATGTGGAAATGAAGAAGTGGGAGTGATTATTCTAGCTTTTAAAAATATGGTGCATTTGATATTGATGAATGAAAAGTAAGAATAAGCACTTCATTTCCACTCATTCCCACGTGCCAAGCAAGGCCTAAGGTGAATGACGGCACAACAAAGGGATTGTGCAAGCACTATTGTAAATACATTAACGATAAAGAAAAAGAGCCATCCTGTTCTCTCAACAAGTAAAAATTACAATGTGAAAACTCCTTGGAAAAAATTATTTTTAAAATCTCTTTCTTTCGTTCTCTCAAGATTCACGACATTATTGTAAATACATTGCTGTGGATCTCTCAACATCCATGACATATTTTGACATTCACGATGAATTTGTAGACTCGACTATACTTGATGAATTTTCAATTAAGGATTCACATCGCCAATGGATTTATCCTCGCCATACACATCCTTGACAGGCGACGACTTCATCCTCACCAAGTATTGCATTGCTTCTCCCTGCAGGATCTTGTCACGGCCCACGACCTAATCGGATTGCAATGAGGCTGACACACACCACTCCGACGATAGGTTTGTTGCAATAATATTTTAAACCTTAAATTGCTACTCATTTTTATTTTTATCAACATTGATCAAATTTGGAAAGGATAATTTCTTAAATAAATAAACAAATATTATAAAACCAATAATAAACCAACAATATAATCCAAACCTAGCTATTCATGTTCTCAACCAATCCCTTGCTCACAATCTGGTTCACATCAACTACTTGGGAAGGGAACAAAAGCAATTCGTTAGAGTGGATTTAGCAAGTACTGTCAAAGAAATAGGAATCCAAATAAACAGACTTGTGAATAATAATTCATATTAAACAAATAAGCAAAATGAACGATAAGCCAAAAAGAGATATTGATGGGCAAATAGATAATTTTGTACAAGTTATTTAGCAAAGGTGACCTCTATTCTGTCCAGAAGCTCTATAGCTGTGTCAGGAAATTCAGTGATTCTGTTATTTAGCAAAGGTGACCTCTATTCTGTCCAGAAGCTCTATAGCTGTGTCAGGAAATTCAGTGATTCATCAGGGTTGGAAGCTAATCTGTCCAACTGTCCAGAAGCTCTATAGCTGTGTCAGGAAATTCAGTGATTCATCAGGGTTGGAAGCTAATCTGTCCAAGTGTTCTATATTTTATGGAGGAGTGGAAAATTCAGTAAAAGAGGAAATCAACCATCTCCTAAGCTTTCCTGAAGGAAAATTACCTATCAAATACCTTGGATTGCCTCTCATCACTAAAAGGCTATCTTATTTGGATTGCAGTCCTCTTTTCAAAAAAATTACTGGTCAGTTCCAAATCTGGCTGAAACACAGTAATCTTTCTTATGCAGGGAGGCTTCATATCATCAAGAGTGTGATTTTGGGTGTTCAAATCTATTGGACTTCTTGTTATTTACTTCCAGTTAAGGTCCTCCAAAAGATTGATGCTCTGTGCAGGGAATTCTTATGGGGAAAAAATGATCATAAAGCTAAAATTCCTCTTGTATCTTGGGACAAAGTGTGTATGGGGAAAAACCATGGTGGTCTAGGGATATTTTCAGCTGCTAAGTGGAACATGGCATCAGCTCTCAGATCTATCTGGTATATTCATACTGATAAGGAGCTGTTATGGATCAAATGGATCCATGGTACCTATCTAAGAAGCAGTGATATATGGCAAGTAAGTGCAAAAACTGGTGACTCTTGGCTTTGGAAACAATTGTTGAAGTTGAGAGACAAAGCTGTGTCTCTTTGTGGAGGAATTATCAACTTGAAGCAGTGTCTTAACTCTTCCTACAGGAATTCTAAAATTCAGCTATCTCTGCTGTACGCAAATCTTCCTCCTTCATCCAACAAAGTGACCTGGTACGAAACTGTCTGGGAAAGGCTAAATCCTCCTAGGCAATCTTTTATATTATGGCTGGCTATCCAAAATAAACTCCTAACAAAAGACATGCTTGCTAATAGAGGGCTTCTTCAATCTGTTCATTGTGTTCTATGTGAGGGTGCTTGTCTTGAGTCACGCAATCATTTATTCTTTGATTGTGTGTTCTCTAATGAAGTCTGGAATGGGATTATGAACTGGCTCCAATTTAATTGGAGACCTTGTGATTGGATTCTGATTACCAACTGGTTCAGCGACAGGTTAAAGGGGAATAGATTCAAACTGAAAGTGAGACGTATGGCGTTAGCGGCAATAGTTTATAACATTTGGAGAGAACGTAACGCTCGTATCTTTCAGTCGAAGAACAGATGCACTGATCAAATCATCAGAGATGTTAAAATTGATATGCTGTCAACCATTCTCAATAGCAGGCTGACGGAAGAGCACAGGGAATGGGTACTATCCCTGTAAACTTGTGTTTCTGTCTGGGTTTTTTTCTTCTTCTCTTCTATGTTTCTTTAATTCCCCTGTTTTGATTCCTCAGTTCTTTTGCTGAGTATTCTTGATGTACATAAAAGCATATTTTGGGATATGAATTAAATATTTTTCATTGACCAAAAAAAAAAAAAAAAGATAATTTTGTACAAGCAAAATGGTAGAGAGATAAGATATCTTAAAAGACAGCAATGTAGACTATAAAACTTGTAGTGAACTGATAAGAGTGATATCACAACTTAATAGGCATAATGTAAGTACTAAGCACGTCCACTCAAACCCTAACCATATTGTCACAACCTATACCGAAATGTATAACAAATCACAAATAAAATTGATGTGAGAATAATCATCAATATATGAAAGCAGGGCATATCATCCACTCTACTGTAGAATCATTATCATATCACATCATCATATTAATCATAAAGTAAATTGAAAATTCAAACAATAACTGCACTTAATAAATATCATTTGAAATTTATCTTTATTTACATTTTTATTTGAATATGGAATTACTAAGCTCATCCATTTAAGGTAGTTACTCATAAACATAATCGTAATCCCATAATAGGTACTCATCTCAGAGTCCTCTAGCCAATCAACTCATCTTAAGACGCGACTCATCATATTACTTATCCCCCCATGCCTATTGTTATTTAAATTTTATTTTCTTTGTACATATAATGTTATGCATAAATCCTAATCCTCTAAGCAGTGACCATATAACTAGTTAAGGGTTATATATCATTGTTTATCTCACGGTTGGTAGCTAACCACCCAAACGTACATACATAATACCTAACCTTGTGATGCGAATAAATATGGTAAGTTTTAAGTGCCCAACAATCAAGCTCTAGTATTTAAGATATCGATCTATAGGGAATGAGAGTATTAAAAAGATAGATCTAAGTGAGTTCTTTAAATGTGAAACAAGAAATGGCAGTGGTGTGTTTAGGTAGAGGGTTTTGTCATAAAAATGAAATGCTAAAATAAGAGGGAAGAAAGACAAAAAGAGGAGAACAAAATAAAAGGAAAACAATAATGAAAAATCAAATCAAAAGTAAATAAAAAATAGAGAAAATCAAGTGAGAAGTCTAAGAATCTAGGATAGAATCCACTAGTTAATTTTAATTTACATTTAATAATTATTCCCATTTTATTCACATATCACTTAGAATTATTAAGCATAGACTACTATGTTACTAAAAACAAGCATAACCTATCAACACTCATTCAAACAATATTACTACTCATGAAAAATTTAAAAAAACTAGATGATAAACCTAGAATTAACAAATCATTCAAGATAATTATAGCCTATCAAATTCTTTTCTATCAATTAGCTCTCTTGTTGATTATCCTTAACATGATCATTTTAAACACAAAAGTGAGCAATTTAAAAAAAAATAGTTTCATCTAATCCAAGAATTTTTGAAAGAGAGTAGCTACTCATATTAGAAATTAAGAGAGTAGCTACACATATTAGAAATTAAGAGATAAAAATTAAAGTCTAAATCATAAAGCATAAAAGCAATATGAAAATAAATCTAAACAACAATGTAGTAAAAGAGAGAAATAAAAAATCTACACAAAAAAGTATAAAATGGCAAGGAAATAAATTTACACTACAAATCTAAACTACAAAGCAATAAGCCTACGCTACAAAACATGGAATAAAAATAAGAAATAAAATTCCAAAACCTGCAATTTTAAAATAAAAAATAAAAAAATAAAAACTTACATTGCAAGGGGTTGACCCCTTTATGAAGCAAATTTTTATCTTCATCATCAAAAGAAAAGAAGAATAAAAATTGAAAAGGAAGAAAATAAAGTTTGTAATTTTAGAAGGCCTTCTTAGTTAAGAGTGACCCACCACTACAAAAAGGAGCTTATAAAATTTTTACATATCCCTAAACCTCACTCTCCACCCCTATTTATAGCCTACAACATTTAACCACAACCATTGGATTAGTCCTGAGCTCCACGAAATCAAAATCAGCTATTCATACATTTTTGTTTTGACCTAATCGACTAGCTCATCGATTAGCTATCTGTTAGCTAATCAATTAGTGAATAGATCAAGTTGTAACAGATTTTGTTTTCTTCTATTGATTTGTTAGCTCATTTTTTTTCATGGGCTTTTGGCTTTGTTGACTTCCTTTAGAAATTTAGTGGCCTTCAAGAAGAGATATTTTGGGCTTCTTGTAGCTCTTATTTGACAAATATTTTATTACTTACAAATTCAAAGAAAAACCATTATTAACAAGTTTATTTATTTAATTAAATAGATAATAAGGGTATAAAAGTATAATAAAATATAATGATCAAGTACTTTTAACATCTAACCTTGTCTAGTCCCCCAGCAAGGAGAGAAAATAAAAAAAAAATTCTTGACTCAATTTTATAGGAATCATGGTTGTATTTAGCGCATACAAAAAGCCTTTAAATAACCTTTTATTATAGTCATTTTAGTGATAAAAAATAATCTCCAATCAAGGGTAGACAAGTGTTTCACATTATTCATAATTAAAGTCAGCATTTCAAGATAATAAGAGGCCCAATTTGGTCAACTTAGTAAGCTAACATCTTGCGAGGATGACTTGAAAGGCTCACGTGTCAATGACCCGAAAGGCGTTGCGTGTTGACCCCTCGCTAAGTTAACTGCTTAATCACATCCACTCAGCCGACTCGTCGGCCGTCATCTTGCGAGGGCGACTCAAAAGGCGGTACTTCTCGACCACCGGATGAGTAAAAAGGTGATGAAATGCCTCGAGCCTCGAGCCCCCTCCCGTGCACTGGCGATCAATCACCTCACAATAAATGCAATTAAATGCATTACAAGCGCCATTATTCTTCTGCTCCTAATAGTCTTTATGGCACATCGGACCTCGTCGGCACCGTACACCCCCAATCACTTCGCATTAAATACCGAAGTGACATCTCCTCCACTCGTCGGTCGACACATGTAAAGTAGTAGATGACGTGGCCGCCATCCTATACTCGATCAAAGTTACAGTTCCACCCTTCTACTACCACTATAAATAGGGGTACTATTTTTGAAAAGAGCATAAGTTCCTGATTACTACTCAGTGTGCTTAAGAGCTACGATAGCAAATTTTACTTCTCCACTTAAGCAAATCACTATCTTGATCATCAGAGAAACAACCGGGGAACCCAACCCTGCTCTCTTACGATTTGCTACTTGTGTAGGAAAGAACAACTTACTTCAGAACCAGACATTAGGGGGGGTTAGAGGACCTCGATTAATCACTCCTTTCATTTGACTGTTTGATATCAAACGTCAACACCTTTGAATCTCTAGGTTATCTTAGAGGACGAGTCGTAGTCTCGTGAAGATTTGCATTGAATATACATGTATAATTCGATCAACTTGCCACTTTGAATAAATAAAATTAAATTAATTCTCTTGGTATCTTTAAACAATCTAATTAAAGCTAGTTTTTACTCAAGAAAATAATCTTATGCATAACTCCAAAGTAAATTTCGTAGAAAATCTTTTCATTGTAATATATATGTATACATATGTATACATATGTATATACATATATATGTATACATATGTATACATATATATGTATATACATATGTATACATATGTATACATATATATTACAATAAAAAGATTTTCTAAATATACATGTATAATTCGATCAACTTGCCACTTTGAATAAATAAAATTAAATTAATTCTCTTGGTATCTTTAAACAATCTAATTAAAGCTAGTTTTTACTCAAGAAAATAATCTTATGCATAACTCCAAAGTAAATTTCGTAGAAAATCTTTTCATTGTAATATATATATATACATATGTATACATATGAAATCAAAAGAGAGAAAACATGAGAATCATGCAAAAAGAGTTTTCGAATGAAAACAAATCAACCAAATGAAATCATAAATCAACCATTTAAACCAAAAATGATGTTTGATCAACAAAAAGAATTTCTTTGTAAGACTTGATCAAACCACTCATAGAATACATTATAAAGCACGAATAGATGATCCATTAGCACAAACACATAAATATCATCATATAAGTGAATTATAATGAATTCAAAAGCAACAAATCAAAACACAATTTTTGAGAGAGGCAACAATTATATCAAGCTCTTGAGCTTGTTCCAACCCATATAATCATTTTAGCATCCGGTAAACTTGAGTTGGGAATAAACACCCAATAAACCCGGAGGGTTATATAAATGCAAACCTCTCATTAAAGCAAAACCAATGATCATGAAAACAAAAGAATTTAGCCAATAAAAGGAATTGTTTTCATAAAAGTTTAAAATGCATTTTTCAAAACCAAAAAAAATAAAAACACTAAAATTCTTGATTTAAAAAAAATCATTTTGGCACCCAAGAATTCTTGGTGCCGGATTGTTTAGGGACATGACCCCTATCATTCAAGCTCAAAGCCCTAGGGTTATGAACCCTCTTGGGCACATATGGTGCACGAACACGGTCATAACAAAAATTACTCAAATGACCATTCCGATTGCAATATGTACAATGGAAAGGAAGCATTTGCTTATGTTGACCATTAAAAGGTGCACGTGGAACATTTGCAAACAAAGGTAAATTATTTGAAGCTTTTTGCAAATGTAAAACATTATCAAAACAAAACTTTCCTAAGTGGCCAAATCTACCACAAACATTACATTTGTAAACATGTGGTCTACTAGAAACATTTGGCAAATGAGACTTATTTTTCAAATCAAAACAATATTTGGCCAAATGACCAAAACGACCACAAATATCACATTTAAACACATGAGCATGCTTATGATGAACATGATGAGTATGTGCATGTGTATGTGATGAAGAAACTTGATGAGATGCACAATGAGCTTTAGTATTCTTATATTTATGTGCATCATAGCAAAATTTAGATAAGTGGCCTTTACGACCACAAATTGAACACTTGTAAACTTTGCTATAAATATGTGCATAGTAAGTGTTGGATTTAAAGGAATTGACACGAGACTTTGCACATAAGTCCATAAGTTTCTTATTATTAACAATGCATGTTTTAAGAGT